AACTTCAGCTCCAGACCGTGAAGTGTTGTAGTAAAACGGCGCGTTTCTGGCCGAGATCACAGTCCAGGCTTTGAGGTCACGACCGTGAACAGCCTTCGATCTGGGTATAAAAGGAAGCAGCAGAAGGAAGAAAGGGGGGAGCTGGTTTTTGGAGAGGGATTCAATTCTCTCTCTAGAGTTTCAACCCAAAACACCAAAGGGGAGCTCGAGTGAGAGAGAGAGAGAGAGTGCTTGAGTGATCTTGGAGTTTAACTGGAGGCTTGGCTTGATCTTGAAGACAAGGATTCAAGCTTATAAGAAGAAGAAGATCTTGGGCTCCAATTTGTAATTTCTCTCTTTTCTCTCTAGAAACTCACCTTGTTCTCTGGGTTTAAGAACCATATGTCTAGATTTGGGTTTAATGTTGATGTATGTGACACATTCCATGTTTCATTGATGATTTTACTTAATTGATGGATGTTTTCATGAATGACATGAGTTGGGTTTCCATTTTCATGTATTGAGCTTTTGACCTAGGAGGGAGAAAATCCCCTTAGAGCCCATTATTAGCGTCCTCGGGTCACTCATCACCCTATATCGTCCGGGTAATCCTCGAGAGAGTCGATTCCATCAATATCCTACAATATAGGGTTGCCCTAGGTTGAATAAAGCCTACCACATTCATCGATTTTCCATTCCGGGTAATTCCTGAGGAGTCCATTTCCTAATGGGAGAGTAATTGAGTCAATCAAGCTTTTGACCTAGGAGGGAAACAACTCCTCACCCCACATCGTCCGGGTAATCCCCGAGGGAGTCAACTGGATCGATCTCCTACGATATAGGGGCACCCTAGGTTGAATAGAGCTCTTACCCATCCATCACTTCACCGTTCCGGGTCCGTCCCAACTTCTTAACAGTAGGATAGTGGGTCGATCGAGTTAGGATGGTACTCAACATGAACCATGTCGTCGGTTATACTTGGCCGACGATTGGGATGTTGTAGTTAGATCAAGTAAGCTAACATGAACAATTGTTTTATTCTATTCCCGATGGGAAAATTAATTTTGATTTTGATTTTTAATAGTGGTGATTGGTCAAAATGGTGGAAATCATAAAGTTTAAATTTTAAATATTATTTATTATTTAATCTCAATGCTAGTCGATATTTGTGATACGGGTGCTTTGGAATCAATAACATCTGTTCCTTGATCCGTTGCTGTTTGGATTTCACTCTGTTCATTACTCATCTTTTATTCCTTCATAAAATTTCTTCTTTTCCAATATCAAAATACATTTGTATCACCTGTTCAAAAGAAAGCCCTAGCCATGCTCCACTTACCTTCTAACTGGGAAAGATTCAGCGAATTCCTCTCTTCAAAATAAGATAAAAGACCGTCCTCTCGCATCAATTCCATCAAAACCCAACGCCCGTCATCCGTGGCAAAAACACTCTTATACAATCGTAGCATTTTCTCGTCTTCTTCAAGCTTTTCGGCACTCGACCGATAGAGAGAGGTTAGAGCAATATGCTCGACTGAAATGAGAGGGTGAGCGTTCGACCGTAGGGAGAAGGGTGAATGGAGAGGAATGATAATACTCGGTAATGACCTAACGAGAGAGATGGTAGTGAGGCAATGAATATTGTCAGTCTTTCGATTTAGTTTCAAGTCTTCGATGTCCCTCAGAGACTGACAAGAGTCAGAATGGGTACTAACCTAGTAGTAGAATTCTATTGATAATGAGCGGGCAAAAGCCCCTTTTTGGGGTGGAACGAAGACACTACAACTCCTCTTCATAGTGGGACTGGCGGGATACTCCCTTGTATAGGTGTCAAAACATAGCCCGACCCGATTAACCCGCCCGATCAACCCGACCCACAACCCGACCGCAACCCGAATTGACTAAAAGTCAACAACCCGTAACCTACCCGACCCGCAACCCGATTGACCCGCAACCCAACTAACCCGCAACCTGATTGACCTGCAACCCGATTAACCCGAACCCGATTGACCCACCACCCGACTGACCCGCAACCTGATTAACCCAACCCGATTGACCCGAACCTGACTAACCCGTAACCCGACCGACTCAACCCGAATTTCATCTAATCCACTTGAATAATTATAAAAATATTCAATACATAGTTTTTCAAAATAAAGTTTTTCATTCTAAACTTAAGTAAAATTATTTTTTCGTTTCGTATAGGAAATTTAAAAAATATGAAAATCACTTGATATTACATATTTTTAAAAAATTACAAAAATTGAAACATGAAGGTCACTTGAGATCATGACAATATTAATATAATATATAAATTAATTTTTTGGTTAATTTAACTATTCAATAAAATTATCAATTAAATCTAAATAAAGTAAAGTAATGTATTTGGTAATTTGATGTTTTTAAATGAAGAGGGAAATTTTGGTGTATTCAAGTTTTTGGGAAGAGAAAGAAGAGAGAAATTTGGTTCTTTGAATTTTTTAGAAAAGAAACAAGTGGGAATTTTGGTGGTTTTGATATGTGGGAAGAGAAAGAAGTCGGAAAGTTTGATTCTTTTAATTATGAAAGAGAAATAAGGAGGAAAACTTTTGAGTTTTCAACTTTTTGTAGAAGGAAAGAAGAGGGTAATTTGGTTCTTTCAATTTTATGGAAGAGAAAGAGGAGGGAAAATTGAGTTTTCTAATGTATGGAAGTAGAAAGTAGGAGGGAAATTTTAGTAGTTTTGTGAAAAGAAAGAAGGAAACAAATTTGGTGTTTTCAATATTTTGGTTTTTCATAATTTTAGCTTTTGAAATATGAATCTTTAACTTTTATATGGAGGGCATGACTAGTTAAAATTATTCTTATATGCTTTGAAGACTAATATATATATATGTATGTAATTGTTTATGGGCTAATAAATAAATTAACCATTAGTTACAACAATTTATACTAAACTTGATAAGCAATCTTTGACGGTTCGTTGTTTAGGATCTAAAGTATATGGTTAGGGTATAGGGTATAAGGTACATATGGTTTAGGGTGTATATGGTTAGGGTATAAGATATTGATGGTTTTGACGGTTCCAAGTTTTTTATTAACATATGTTCACTTGAAGTCATTTGAAGTCTTTAACGGCAGGAGATCCCTTTTTAATTTATGTTTATGGTACGTGGTTAGGATACAAGGTATGTGGTGTAAAGTATAGGATATATGGTTAGGGTATAACAATTAGCAAATATCACTTTTTATCTATGTTTTGAAAATCAAAGTATGAATTTCACTTTTAAATTAACTATACTAGCAAAATCACTACTCAAAGACATATGGTTAGGGTATAGGGTATAGGTTATGTGGTTAGTGTATAATGTATGATGGTTTAGGCCTTTAGGGTATATAATCAACAACATATACTAACTTAATATTGTTGATTGAGGGTAAGGCTAAGTGTATAGGATATATGCTATTGAGTAAGTTATGATTGAAGTCGCAATAATTTTACTAAATTTGATAGCTAACCTTTAATGGTTCAATTTTTAGGATAATTCGAACAATTTTACAAATAACTCGTTTGACAACAGTTTACTGAAGTTATTTGGGCAATAAGTTATTTCGAAATAACTCCTTTTATCACTATGCTTTTGCCAAATACCACACGCCAAATACCAGATTTGCATGGTTATACTAAACGAGATACTTTAATCCAATTACTACTTAATTAATACTAAAATATCAAATAAACAATTAATGGTGTCTTTTGGTTGCAAATATTGATATCACCATTACTTTTAGCTATAATACTTTACCAATTATGATTAATTACATAACAAGTTTGCAAGTCATAAAAATTGATTTAACATTTTGACTAGTTTTTTTCAAAAAAATAAAGTATATATATACGAGGTAGAAATAAATTGGTTAAAAAGTTGAGAAAATATTTTAAATTAGTGTAATAAAATGTGTAAGTTGGTAATGAGTAATGAGTTAAGTTACTAGATGCGCTGGCCCGAACGACCCGAAACCCAATCCGCCCGCAACCCGCCCGACCCAAAACCCGATGAACCCGCAACCCGATTTGCCCGCAACCCGATTGAACCCGAACCCGATGAACCCGCAACCCGACTAACCCGCAACCCGTTTGAACCCGAACCCGATTGAACCCAGCCCGAACCCGCCCGATTGACACCTATACTCCCTTGTGCCATTCTTTCATTTTTCCCGTATTTTTGCTTGAATGTCACATCAAATAAATTTAATGGAGACTAATGGATAGTGACCAAACATAAACTATTAAATTAATTTTAGTGACCAAAAATAAAATAAAGTATTTTTAATGATCAAATGTAGAATTTCTAGTAAATCCAGTAACCATTCTTGCAATTTACCCATTTTAATGATTGCTTTGGCTGTTAATTAACATGCTAATTATCTAATACGATCTAGTATTGTAGACGAAAGACCATTTTGGATAGGTCGGCTATTATGTATGTATATGTTTATTTTCCAACATTTAATACCAAACAAGTTTGTTAAATATATACTAACGTATAATAAAAGGTAACCACTTGGTTGAATAAATTTATCCACATGCATTGCAATTAGGTATATATATCAATGACTAAAATCAATAAGAGCTAGCATATCATTGCCATTCATCAATTAACATTATCACATATATATATCAACATTGTAGTACGTAGGAATTCTGCTTGTCTTTGGTATATTTATGACGATTGGCAGAAGGCAGATACATAGCAGCTGCTTGGTTTTACTATTGCCTGCCAGCATTGATGTCTTGGTTTCAATATTTTGACCCTACCAAAATTATAGGTGAAACTTATTGCGATAAAAATTTACCGTATCACAAATATTCCGCTCGGAAATGGAAAGAAAAGAGACGTAGGGATCCCCATTATTGCTTCAACTATTACCCCCTTATCCACCCTTCTCCGAACCAACCTAGCTATTATTACAGTGCAGGCTGTGCAGCTCCATCTTCATAAATTCTGTAATGGTTAATACTTTTGTTGCTGGTGGGAGAATGGAGGTTCGTCTAACCATGCAACTGTACACCATAGTATATGATTCACTCTACCATGCAAGAACTACTATTTATTCCCCCGCTAATCTCCAACACCAACGCATCATCATCAATACTATTCCACTGGCGAAACCCTAGCCAAACTAGACAGCTCCTGAAACATGTCCACACAACTACTTCTACCCTTCCTTTCCCTATTCATCTTCCTATGCTACTGGCTTCTCAGAAACAAGCACTCACCGCTCTACGAATGGCCATTGCTGGGGATGCTCCCCAGCCTCCTCTTCAACTTGTACACACTCCACGACTTCATCACCGGAGCTTTGAGGCGAAACGGGGGAACGTTCCTTTTCAAGGGGCCTAGCTTCATCAAAGCCGACTACATGGTCACGAGCGATCCCACCAACATCAACCACATCTTCAACAAGAACGCCGCCAACTACGACAAGGGCCGGGACTTCAAGGCCATAATGGAGGCTCTGGGCGACGGGATCTTTAATGTCGACGGCGAATCATGGAAGTTCCAGAGGAAGCTCCTCCATTCCTTGTTGAACAACTCCGAGTTCGAGGGTCACTCCATGCACATCCTCACACAGAAGGCGAGGAGCACCCTTATGCCGGTCCTCGACAGAGCAGCAGCGAGGACGACGGACAGGGACGAGTTGGTGGACCTACAGGACGTGTTTAAGAGGTTCATGTTCGACAACATGTGCCTATTGGTCTTGGGATTCGACCCTCATTACCTCCCGGCTGCGGGGTCCGAAGGCGGCTGCCTCCTTGATAGTGCATGTGGCAAGGCATTCGATGAGCTGGAGGAGGTGGCGATCTACCGACACATAGTTCCGGTATGCGTGAGGAGGCTTCAACACCGGCTTAAGATTGGAATTGAGTTGAAGTGCATTCGAGCTTGGAGAACCCTAGATGAGTTACTATATGGTAGCATTGAGAGGAAGAAGCAAGAATTAGCGACCAAACACTTTGTCGACAATGATGTGCATAAGAGAAACAAGGTGGATTTGTTGACACAAATCTTGGTCATGAAAGATGAGGACAACGGTGGTAACGAAAAAATCATTGATAAAACATCCGACAAGTTTTTGAGGGACACTACATTAACATTGGTCGCAGCTGGAAGAGACGCCATCGCTGCCTGCCTTACTTGGTTTATATGGTGTGTGGCGAACCACCCTATTGTTGAGGAAAGGATTCTCGAAGAGTTGAGACAAGTGTTGGCAACGCGACGGTCAAGTGATATTAATGGTAAGAAAAAAATATTTAAATATACACATATACACATATTCTTAGTCTTTTAGATATATTAAATGACATAATTTATTGCGGAGCACCAGGAGAAGAAATAGGAGGATTTTTCAGAAACGACGAGTTGAACAAACTTGTTTATCTCCATGCAACCGTCTGTGAGACACTGAGGTTGTACCCACCGGTGCCATTCGAGCACAAGTGTGCCGTGGAGGCAGATGTCCTTCCAAGCGGGCACACTGTACGTAAAGAAGAAAGGATAATACTCTCAATATATGCCATGGCCAGGATGGAGGAGATATGGGGAGAAGATTGCTTGAAATTCAAACCAGATAGGTGGATTTCTGAGAAGGGGACGATACTACATGTCCCTTCGTACAAGTTCATGACCTTCTTGGCTGGGGCAAGGACCTGTTTGGGGAAGAATATGTCATTCACGCAAGTCAAGTCCCTGGCCAGCGCTCTTCTTTGGAACTACAATTTTGAACTTATAGACGATGGTCCCTCCGATAGGCCGGTGCTTGGCATGGTGTTGTTCAAGAAAGATGGGTTGAAGACGAGAGTCTCCAAGAGAAACCATTGAGAATAATATTGTTAATTAATGCACGATTGTTGTTGTGGTCTGATGGTAGTGCTTGATCAATTTGTCACTATGTTTAGGGTTTGCATTAATGTGTCGTATGAGGTCAACTTCTTTTATTATTTATGTTGTCTATGTGATTTCTTATCCAACTGCATGCTAGGTTCCCTATGACTATGCTATTCTTGTGAGTAGAGCTGGCAAATGGATTGAATCCATGGATTGGTGGATTAGATTAGTGTATCCATGGACAAGTCGATTTCGTTAAATGGTTTCATGGATTTGATCAAGTGGATTGGTCAATGAATCCAAATGACATCCCAGATTTTGACCAATATGTAAAATTTGAAATGTTTAGGTACTAAATGTCATGATGAAAAATTTTAGGCACCAAAATATAATTTTCAATGATATTTTCATGTAAAAAAAATTTAGGTACCAAATGTAAAATATAAAAAGTATAGGTACTAAATTGTAATTTACCATTTGAATCAAAATGGATTGGATCAAAATGAATTTGATTAGTTGGATATTTAAGTGAATGAATTGGATTGGATTGAATTGGTAGATTGGATAACAAATTGTCACCTTTACTTGTGAGTGTTGTTGTGCTCTTTGATTGTGTTCAATTCATATATGGCATCATGGGATATTTAAGAACCGAATTGTCAATCGGTATCACACATATGCCATCAATATTCATATTTTTAATAGGTCATGCTCTTAAAAGAATTGAAGAGAAAAAATTGCCTTTCAAATAATGAAGTACGAAGGCGAACAAGTGTTTGGTGCTGAGTGCTGACATGATCAATGTAGTTAAAATCACGCATTAAAGCTTAAAAACTTACGCTTTTACGCTTCTAGGTCACCAAAATGCTTCTACACATAATCACCGTTTTTATAACTAATGTAGTTAAAAACTGCGCTTTAAGCTTAAAAACTTACAATTTTACGCTTCTAGATCAGCAAAACGCTTCTACATAGAAACGCGCTTTTAACTACATTGGACGTTATACCACTGGAGTTCTCAAATTCGAATATTTTGGTTAGTCAACGGAAGTATCTTTGGGACTTATTGTCAGAAAATCAGTTTGAGAACCGCAAGCCGTGTACTACTCCTGTGGAACATAATTTGAAGTTGAGCATAATAGTGGAGATTTGTTGGATGATCAAACTATGTTTCGGACCATTGTTGGATCTCTTAGGTACCTCAGTTTGACACGGTCTGACATTGCCTACGCAGTACAGGTGGTGAGCCAGTTCATGGGCATGGCAAGTACTATGCATCTAGACGCAGTGCATAGAATCCTGCGGTATTTACAGAATACAAAAGATGTTGGTATTTTCTTCCTGGTTAAAGGGGAACCCGTGTTGGAGGAATTTGCAGACGCTGACTTTGCTGGTTGTATTGACACAAGACGGTCAACTTCAGGGGGGTGTGTAAGGTTTGGGAGTCCATTTGTATCATGGAGATGTAAAAAATAGGATCATGTCTCAAAACCTTCGAAAGAGGCGGAGTACAGGTCGATTTCAGAAGTTATTTCGAAACTGATTTGGTTGCAGCGGCTCATAGGAGAGCTATGCCTCAATTGCAGTATGCCTATGAAGCTATTCGATGATAATATGAGTGATATTCGGATAGCCACCAATCATGTTCTGCACGATCGGATGAAGCACATTGAGGGAGGGTGTTGAAATTATGTATTATGCTTAGTTTAGGTAGCTTTATGTAATTATCCCTATTACGTGAATTACTAAACTAAGTAGAATTGGGGTTACTCTAGTGCTGTAGCCTGGACGTATATATACCTCCTCTATGTACTCTATACAGACTAATCTGAATAAGATTGACTCTGGAAAGTGCTATCTCTCCCGTGGACTAATATTGATTTTCAAGGAAACCACGTAAATCCGATGTTCGTATTCTTAATTTTTATCTTCTTATCACTTCCACGACCGTGTCGGAAAACTAAGAAGAAAACACCGAACTGCCATGCTCGACGACGACGTCCAGCTCCCTCTTCGTTAAGTGACGAACGACGCCGATTGAGGATGACAACGAAGAGGATTGACGACCAGCTCCCTCTTTGCTAAGCGACAATGGCGATAAAAGAAAGCGGTTGGTGATGGAAAACAAAACGGAAACACTGGCGAGAGGATACGAACAGGCACAGGAAAATAAGGGGGGGGGGGGAAATCTCAAAATATACACGTTTTATGAAAATTTCTCAATCTACACATGTTTGGGCATCACTGCGGCTGTTAATCGCGGTGAATGCATTCACCGCGCCTGCATTAACCGTGCCAGACTAAAGCGGTGAATGTATCACCGCAGTTGACGGCTACTATAGTGTGATCCAATAGACATAGAATCCTTGATTTATAGCCTCGCATGTAACCCAAAAGCATGGTCCATGAAACCGTACCGGGAAAGTCAGTGGTAGGGTATTTTATGGTAAAATCGTGGTTCAACCGTAGTTCAACCGTAGTATCGTTAAATACCGCCAACCATTTTACCCTCTAATACTGATATTTCGGGGTTGAACCGCCGGTACGATACGGTTTCATGGACCATATCCAAAAGGTCGGATTTAATATTAGGACCAGTTGGTTTATGATATTATATCAGAGTTGGTTTGATCGTAAGGCAGGGATGGAGCCAGCTTGTAGCTAGGGGGCCAACTTACAAATCCAAGCGGAAGTGAAGCATTACAGCAAATAGTAAATGTGGTGCAGTGATCTGGCATGTTAAATATAGGATGGAGGATTAGAGTTCGATCCCATCCATGCTCAACTCACAAGCAAGAGTATGATGTACGTAAGTGCGGGGAACTTGTTTGTTTATTGATTGATTGTCAAATTGGACCAATGTTATAGTAGGGCTGTCAGTTCAGTTGCCGGTTAGCGGCTAACCGGCCGGTCTAACCGGTAACCGCTGGTTAGCGGCTAACCGGAAACCGGAAAAAATGGGTGGCGGTCGGTTGTCGGATGAGTTTAGTGGTTAGGCGGTTAGCCGAAAAACCGAGGTCGGTTAACCGGCTAACCGACGCTAACCGACCGACGCTAAACGACCCCGTTTTGGCCTAAATAAAACCACCCACCTCTCCCTAAACCCTAGGGGTTGTGAGCAGCCCCCATCCTCCCTCCTTCTCCCCCATCCTCCCTCCTCTGACCTCTCTTTCCTCCATCTTCCCTCATCCTCCCTCCGACGGCGACTCCGGCCGGCGGCCGCCCTCCCCTGCCTCCTCCGCTACCCCTCCTTCCACCTCCACCACAACTTGCCGCCCTGCCTCCGTCGTCGCCCTCCCCTGCCTCCGTCGCCGCGCGTCTCTCCGCGCGCAGCCCGCCTCGCCGCCCGCCTCGCCGCGCACCACCCGCCTCGCCGACCGGTGGATTTTGAGAGATGGGAACAGAGAGATATATATGTGGGGGGAAGAAGAAGACGAAGGGGGATCTGCAATTTTTTTTTGGATCTTGATCTTGAGAGCTTGCGCCCTTCTCTCTCTGTCTGTCTCTCCCTCTCTTTTCTTTTTTTTAGCGATTGTGTGGATGTGTGATATTGATAAGAAAGGAGTGGTGGAGCTTTTTCCGGTTTATTTAATTTTTTTTTTTTTTGGAAAATGTATTTTTTTTTCGGTTGGCCGGCTAACCGAGGCTAAAACCGGAACCGGTCGGTCGGTTGGCCGGCTGACCGTGACCTCTCTTCGGTCGGTGGTCGGCAGCTATAGGGGGTGTCTCGATTTAACCGAAAACCGACTTTTCGGTTTTCGGTTAAACCGAAACCGACCGGTTGCCAGCCCTATGCTATAGTAGTTACAATATATAGGCCGCTAATTAGGGATGACAATTTGAACGGGAGGAGTTAAGGTGTTAATTGTATAAGAGTTAGCACCGTCCTAACCAAGGAGCAATGGAGGGTTTTATTGGTATTTAGTAAAATTAAATTTAATAAATAAATTAAATTTAATTATCTCTCTCCTCCTTCGCAAAGAACTTTAATGTGAAAAAATACAAGGGAAAAAACTACTCCTAGTTTGAATTAGTAGTGATTTAGCTTAGATGTTGTATTGATTTTATAATAATCCGTCGTGATTTCATTGTTTTTAGTAGCGTTTTTTAAATAGAAGAAGTTGATTATATTTAGAAAGAATAATATGGTAAATGAAAAAATTACTACAAAGAACAAATATTACTACTAATATACAAAACACTACTAATACTTTACAAATATCACTGCTCATGTTGATTATAATCACAATAACTACTAATACATATGGAAAACAATACACCACAATCACTGCTAACCCAAAATCAATGCTAATCAAATAATAATATAGATCTGGAAAAAATTCTCATTCTTCCTCCACGCATGCTATCCACGAGCGATTGACGGCAATGGTGGTGGGAAGCCAACACAGGCAAGGTCAGCGTCGTTGCGTGGGGAAATCGACGTCGTTGCGAGTGGAATCAGGCAAGAGACGCTGACGACTCGGCGCCATTTTTGGTGGAATCAATTTCGTTGCGGCGGCAATTGATGGATCTCGCGCTCTCTGCGGAATCGAACCACATCTCGACCGCATCGTCTTCGTTTACGCTGGCAGGCGAGGTTGAAGCAAACGATGGCGACGCAGTAGAGGGTGGCGAAGGCCGCACCGGTGCCGATGATGGCAGGGCAGGTGAGGCCGATGCAGACAACGGCGCCGCAGAGAAGACCGATGTAGACAACGACAACGCAGGCAAGAGAAGCGAGGAAGACTATGATGGCGGGGAGGGTGGAGGCAGAGTGGGGGAAGCCGATGGAGAGGGGGAAGCCAACGGAGATGCAATTTTGATGGATTGCTCTACTAAAGAATGAGAGAGAGACAGCTAGAGAGGAAAAGGGCAAAAATAAAAGAACGAATGGAAAGGACGGTTGGGTTTATCCCTAAATCTCGCATGCCAAAGGCGGGATCACCTGTGCGCGTACCCAAAATGCCCTTTTAACAAAATCACCTTTGGATTGACTGAAAAATAAAAGGACGGAGATTGGATTGGTTATTACTGTGCTAACTTAATAGATGGTTAGCAACTTAGCATCCCATCTCATCCCCAATTTGAACTCATCCAGTCGAGTATTAACCGACCTGACCCATGATGGAGAGGGTATTATCTGACCCATAGTAACGTGGGGCGCAGTATGGGTATCTACTTCCTACCTGACCCGCTCTGCTTCGTTCTTGGTCCATTCTATCTCAATTTCTAACAATACCTATTCATATTTCTCATATTTTGCCTTTTCTTCACCTAGTTAGACTTGATCTTTAAATTAGTTAGACTCAATTACACATTATATTTTCATTATTTTTCACTCATAAAGCGTTTTTCCTTCATTTTTTTGTAAAAGGTAAATTTTGCG